TATAGTTACTAGTTCTATTGGATTGCGACCCCTGGGGTAATTACATTATATTAAAGGCAGGAATAGCATCAGTACATTTTGATTTTATAACATCAGGTTATACTTTCTGGCACATTTAAAGCACTGAAACAAATTTAATTGGTGTGTCTGCGTCATTGCATGCAAGGTTTCTGTATTTATAACCACCTCAGAGGATACTGGGGGTCGCGAGTCACTGACATTGTTATTTTGGGGGTCGCGGGCTGAAAAGTTTGGGAACCCCTGGTATAGACAAGCACAGCAATTTAAGTTCTTAATGAGCCAAATAGGCTTGACATGCATAATCATCATAATGATACATATATTTTTTAATACAAGACAACACATGACGTTTCTATTCTATCTCTGTCAGTGACCCTGGCAGTTGAAGTGAGTACATTCACTAAGTGCTTCTGTCACTGTGTTTAATCGTACTGTGCATGACTGTATGGTACAGACTAGCTAATGCCACATACACTGTGATGTGTTTTATTTTGCGAAATGTTTGTTGAGAGTTACATTTTTTGCTAGAGGAGGTGAGCATGGAGGAAACAGTAGATTGGAAACCCGATTGCTCCTCTATGACATTGGTATAAGTGATACAAGTGTGTCTATAGCAAATAAGCAGAGACTATAATAAGTTATAGTAGAACACACATCTTGTTCTCTTGCTCTTGGTTTGCTGATCAAGTGGAAAACGAAATACGTGGAGGAGCCAAATTCTGCCGCTGTTTTCATATTAAATTTAAAGAGGACTGAGGCTATAATTTAGTGTACAGTTTATGAGCTAATCGCAACAATTTTAGGGGGGCTGAGTTGAAATATAGGGGGACTACAGCCCCCCTAAAATAGGCCTAGCGACGCCCATGGGTTGGCGCTAAACTCTGTTGGACCGCGGCCCTCCAGACCAAGTTAACCAAGTTTCTATTTTTTCCGCAGGACTTGCCAATGTGATTACCTTTGCTTACCTGGGCCGTGTGCACATGTCTCTGTACACCATTGGTTGCACTGTGTCTGCAGCCAGCACTCTGCAGATCCCGCATCTTCTCCAGATGTGCATGGATTTCCTGATGGCCGAGCTGAACACACACACCTGTGTGTATGTGTGGAACATCGGTGCTGCCTACGGCCTTATGCCTGTCCGAGATGCCGCCCGGCGCTACATCTTAGAGAATTTTGCCCAGTTTTCTGAAACAACCCAATTCAATCAACTCACCTTTGAGCAGATCACAGCTTTCCTGCAGGATGACAACCTTATTCTTCCTTCAGAGGTCTCCACGTTTCAGGTTAGTGGAAAGAAGAGCACAAAATCTTAGGACAGTGGTAGTAGGAAATTTTGGTCCTATAGAGAGACAGTAAAGTGATATTCACATAAAAATGAAACTTCTGTCATCATTTACTCATCCTTCACTTGTTCTTGAGTCTTTGGTGCCACTTTATATTTAGGTGTCCTTAACTTCTGTGTACTTCCACCAAAATAAATACAATGTGCTTACTGTGTTCATAATGTATTGCAGAATCCATGTGGTGCTCTTGACTCTTGGTCGGGTTAGGGACAGGTTTGGTGGTGTGGGTAGGTTTAAGGGTGGGTTAAGATGTAAGGGATGGTAAACGTTGTAATTTTAGAAATGAATTACATATGTTATTACATGCAGGTATTTAATCAGTCATAAGTACACTGTAAAATTATTTATGTACACAATAAGTACATTGTAATAAATGATTTACATATTATATTAGTACATATTAGATAAGGCTACCTAATATTTCGGTTATTGGCCCTAGTTTTTATCAACTACGTCTGCTGTCTAAAGTTAAACACTTTTTAAATCCCACCACTCTAGAGATGGCTGTCCATGCATTCATTACATCTCGGTTAGACTACTGCAATGCACTTTACTGTGGCATGTCAGAATCCCAGGTTTCTCGCCTTCAGCTGGTCCAAAACGCTGCTGCTAGATTTATTTGTAATAGCAGAAAATATGACCACATTACCCCTCCTCTAAAAAGCCTTGATTGGCTGCCTGTGCAATTTAGAATTTATTTTAAAGTGCGTTTACTGGTTTATAAATCCCTCAATAATCTAGCCCCATCCTATCTCTCAGAGCTGCTTACACTCCTGTGAGATCTCTTAGGTCGAGTGAGCAGAATCTTCTTTCAGTTCCACAGTCTAGGCTGAAATGTAGAGGGGACAGAGCTTTCTCTGTGGTGGGTCCTCGGTTGTGGAACACCTCGCCCCTTGAGATTAGAATGGCTCCATCATTATCCTTTTTTAAATCACTTCTTAAAACCTACCTTTTTAGCTTGGCTTTTTAGGATTATTTTAATAGTTCATTCTACCGCTAATTTTTTTAAATATATTTTTTTATAGTCGCTCTTAATTTATTTCTAGGATTATTTTAATAGTTCATTCTACCGCTAATTTTTTTAAATATTTTTTTTATAGTCGCTCTTAATTTATTTCTAGGATTATTTTAATAGTTCATTCTACCGCTAATTTTTTTAAATATATTTTTTTATAGTCGCTCTTAATTTATTTCTAGGATTATTTTAATAGTTCATTCTACCGCTAATTTTTTTAAATATTTTTTTTATAGTCGCTCTTAATTTATTTCTAGGATTATTTTAATAGTTCATTCTACCGCTAATTTTTTTAAATATTTTTTTTATAGTCGCTCTTAATTTATTTCTAGGATTATTTTAATAGTTCATTCTACCGCTAATTTTTTAAAATATTTTTTTTAAAGTCGCTCTTAATTTATTTCTAGGATTATTTTAATAGTTCATTCTACCGCTAATTTTTTTAAATATATTTTTTTATAGTCGCTCTTAATTTATTTCTAGGATTATTTTAATAGTTCATTCTACCGCTAATTTTTTTAAATATATTTTTTTATAGTCGCTCTTAATTTATTTCTAGGATTATTTTAATAGTTCATTCTACCGCTAATTTTTTTAAATATTTTTTTTATAGTCGCTCTTAATTTATTTCTAGGATTATTTTAATAGTTCATTCTACCGCTAATTTTTTTAAATATATTTTTTTATAGTCGCTCTTAATTTATTTCTAGGATTATTTTAATAGTTCATTCTACCGCTAATTTTTTTAAATATTTTTTTTATAGTCGCTCTTAATTTATTTCTAGGATTATTTTAATAGTTCATTCTACCGCTAATTTTTTTAAATATTTTTTTTAAAGTCGCTCTTAATTTATTTCTAGGATTATTTTAATAGTTCATTCTACCGCTAATTTTTTTAAATATTTTTTTTATAGTCGCTCTTAATTTATTTCTAGGATTATTTTAATAGTTCATTCTACCGCTAATTTTTTAAAATATTTTTTTTAAAGTCGCTCTTAATTTATTTCTAGGATTATTTTAATAGTTCATTCTACCGCTAATTTTTTAAAATATTTTTTTTATAGTCGCTCTTAATTTATTTCTAGGATTATTTTAATAGTTCATTCTACCGCTAATTTTTTTAAATATTTTTTTTATAGTCGCTCTTAATTTATTTCTAGGATTATTTTAATAGTTCATTCTACCGCAAATTTTTTAAAATATTTTTTTATAGTTCCTCTTACTTTATTTCTAGGTTTATTTTAATAGTTCATTCTACCGCTAATTTTTAAAAATATTTGTTTTATAGTCGCTCTTAATTTATTTCTATGTTTTTATATTCTGTCTTTTTATTTTTTTTACCTTGTCTTATGTACAGCACTTTGGTCAGTCTTGTGACTGCTTTTAAATGTGCTTTATAAATAAATGAACTTGAACTAGAACTTAATATAAAATGAGACCAGGTTTTTTTCTTCTGTTAAACACAAAGGATGATAGACTGAAGAATAAAGGAAAAAACAGCCATTGATTTGCATAGTACAGGGTTTCCACTGGTCATGGATTTTTTGGGATATCATAGAATTTTACATAGGGTGTACCCACACTAGGCTATCCGAACCAAGGAAGGTTTTAATTGTTTATACAAATTTAAGTGGATTGAACATAAAAAAATTAAGTTAACAATTTGTGTTGGGACAACATGAAGAAATCCAGCATTTCCTACAGTGTAGGTGGCATAAATGGCCACGGACCGAATTGAAAATATAGCTCATTATACGGTAGCCGAGAGAGCTGCACTTTAAGAAAAAGCATGCAGTTACACAAAACACCAGCAAATAAAGAAACAATCTTAATCAATTTGTCAGCACACATGTTGCAAATTGGTCACAACTCAAACAACTGAAGAAATCACAGCAAATTGGTCCATGACAGACCCTACTGAGATATGATGTATTATTATGCCGTGACGGTTGCTCAGTGAAGTGAATGGTGGTCTTTGAAAGGTGAGTTGTTTTTCCATTTATTTTAATATCCTGATTACACAACATAACACATAACACCATATCTCAGCAGGGTCCGTCATGTTTTTGGGTCCTCTTGAATGATTTCCGTTGTGTTACGTGCATATTTGCAAGTGTTGTGACCGATTTGCAGCACATTTCTTCAGTTGTTTGTGTCGTGAGAATTTTCAACGTGTGCTGACAAATTGATGGATATCGTTTCTTTATTTGCTGGTGTTTTGTGTAACACCAATTATACGGCCACCATATAATTAGGTTGTGAGCTAATTGCTGTTCATTTTTTACTTTTTAGTTGTATTAAAAAACTAATTTGGGTGAGTTTTTAGAGCCTGTAACTGTAAGATTTAAAGTGAATTTAAACCATTTGGGCACAAGAAATTATAAAGTTTGCCACTTTATCAAAGATTATTTGATTATTTATACAATGTTTATACAATTTATACAATGTTTATACAATTTGATTATTTATACAGTGTTAACTATACATTGTTATTTCTTTACATTTGATTATTGAATTTCTGCATGTCAATACTTTACAGTAACTCTGTTCATTTAATTTTTTTTCTATCTTTGTTCTATTGTTTTGCCCTGCTCCTTATTTGTTCCAAATAGAAATCTTGTTAATTTATTTTCTTAATGCAATGTACACTCACTGGCCACTTTTTTAGGTACACCTTACTAGTACCAAGCTGGACACCATTTGCCTTCAGAACTGCTTTAATCCTTTGTGACATAGATTCAACAAGGTACTAGAAGTATTCCTCAGAGATTTTGCTCCATATTAACATGATAGCATCACACAGTTGCTGCAGATTTGTCGGCTGCACATCCATGATGCGAATCTCCCGTTCCACCACATTCCAATAGTGCTCTATTGAATTGAAATCTGGTGACTGTGCAGGCCATTTGAGTACAGTGAACTCATTGTCATGTTCAAGAAACCAGTCTGAGATGATTTGCGCTTTATTTGGTGCGTTATCCTGTTGGATTTAGCCATAGGAAGATGGCACCAACAACCATGCCACATTCAAAGCCACTTAAATGACCTTTCTTCCCCATTCTGATAATCAGTTTGAACTGCAGCAGATCGTCTTGACCATGTCTCAATGTCTAAATGCATTGAGCTGCTGCCATGTGATTAGCTATTTAGAAATTTGCGTTAAAGAGCAGTTGAACAGGTGTACCTAATAAAGTGGCCAGTGAGCGTATATATACATAATTGTAGAAAAACAAAATATCTAATATATTTCTAATATGCCTTAGACTTTGCTTTCTTTATTCATGTGATATCCATCTAAACAAGTGTGAAATTCAGCACTTCTGTGGCTCTCTAGGACCAAACTTGCCAACCCTTGCTAAGGAAAATCCTATTTATATAATGACCTATAAGCTAAATATGTCAGCAAACGCAGCACATACTGTAAAGAGGGCTATTGGAATGATTCAGACATGTAGAGCGTGAACACTATTTATAAAAGTAGCATCGAATACTTTACGCTAAATGTGGATTGCTCACTTTAACTCTTCTTGGAACCTAGATTGCAATGAAGTGGTTAGACTTTGACCCTAAGAGGCAGGAGCACGCTGCAGAACTGCTGTCCCACGTGCGATTTGAGACCATCCCGGCTAGTGAGCTGGTTAGCGAGATCCAGCCGGTGCCACGTATGATGCTAGATCCCCAGTGTCACCGTCTTCTGGTGGATGCCATGAACTACCATTTGCTGCCCTACCAGCAGAACACACTGCAGTCACGCCGAACAAAAGTCCGCGGGAGCCAGAATGCTCTACTAACCATTGGAGGACGGCCTTCGCTGACTGAACGTGCCCTAAGTCGAGAGGTACACACTCTACTTGACAAAAGTCTTGTCGCCTATCCAGGTTTAAGGAACAGCAAATAATAACTTGACTTCTAGTAAATCATTTGGCATCAGAAGTGGCTTATATGAAAAGCAAAGGCCTCTAGATTATGATTATTTTACCAAAATAAAAGATGATCATGCCTTGATGTTTAATGATTTAATTAAGACAGTTAGGTCTAACTTTGCTTAGACAGAAGTCTCATCACTTAACAGAAATAATGTCCAGTATAAAGTCATGCTGCAGTGGAAACAGAATGAATATTGTGTCTGACTCCATCATGAGCTTGGAGGACTGCATCCATACATCTCTGCAATGACTCAAATCACTGATTAATAAAGTCATCTGGAATGGTGAAGAAAGCGTTCTTGCAGGACTCCCTGAGTTCATCAAGATTCTTTGGATTCATCTTCAATGCCTCCTCCTTCATCTTACCCCAGACATGCTCAATAATGTTCATATATCTGGTGACTGGGCTGGCCATTTTTGGAGCATCTTGACCTTCTTTGCCTTCAGGAGCTTTGATGTGGAGGCTGAAGTATGAGAAGGAGCGCTATCCTGCTGAAGAATTTGCCCTCTCCTGTGGTTTGTAATGTAATGGGCAGCACAAATGTCTTGATACCTCAGGCTGATGATGTTGCCATCCACTCTGCAGATCTCTCACATGCCCCAATACTGAATGTAACCCCAAACCATGATTTTTCCTTCACCAAACTTGACTGAATACTGTGAGAATCTTGGCTCCATGCAGGTTCCAATAAGTCTTCTGCAGTATTTGAGGTGATTGGGACCTTCTGCCACTTTTCCAAATGATCAACTAGAAGTCAAGTTATAATTTGTTGCTTTTACAAATGGGATCAACGACAAGACTTTGTCAGGTAGTTTATTGATGACATTTCAAACATTTTACAGATTCATGTCTATTCTACTTCTGGACGTTTACCTTCATAATGGTTCAATAACGCAGCCAAGATGTTTCTAGTATGAATACCTTGGCTAGGTGGTTTTACTTTAATGAGAATTAGAGCTAAACTCTTCAAGAAGCTGGCTATCCACACTGTAAAAAATATCCATGTTTTGTGATTCATGAGTGTTTTCTGTTTATTTACAGTGGTGAATATCATTATGGGATATTGATCTCTGCTCTGTCAACTTTTGATGTTGAAAATTCAACTCTACAGTTAAACAAAGTGACTTTTATTGACATTTGAGTAGTTTGAAAGAATATAATGTATTAGAAATAATATATAGAGAAATAACAGAAAATGTACAGGCAGCCTATTACAAACTGTTTGTAACACCAGCCCATATGGTATATCACTTTAAACTAATTAAAAAGATTATTAAAAGCCCCTTTTTCCAATTTTCCAAGGTTAAAAGTTGTTGAAAGAAAGATCATGATTCCATAATGCAATTCAAAAGCATGAATAAACTGGGAAAATAAAACAAACACATACAAAAACTACTAATTCAAGGATATTGTGTACAGTGCAGGAATAGGACTGAATTTCCTGCTCTGCATTTAAAAGAACCCTCCACCTTTAGTCTAATATTTAACTCCCCTTACAGTTAAACAAATCAGTTTTAGCATTTTTAATATAAATTAAGCCAATCTCTGAGTCTGGAGACAGCTTTTAACTTAGCTTAGCATAGATCACTAAATCAGATTAGACCCTTAGCATCTCCCTCAAAAACGACTAAAGAGTTTTACATGATTTTCCTATTTAAAGCTTGACTCATTTGTAGTTATTGTGTACTTAAACTGAAGGAAAATGAAAAGTTGCTCTTTACAAGGTTGATATGGAACTACACTCTCATTACATTATAATAATCAATTAAGCTAATAATTCAATTAACAATTAGCCGTAGCATGGTACGATATGCACGCAATGATAATATGCAGAGCCTTGAAATCTTGCAACTACAGAGATATTAGTGCATTCAGAACAACTTTTAGACACTGCATAATATCACTGCACCTGATTCAGCCATGGATGCTACAGCGGCAAAGTTAATTGATTATTACACAAGAATGAGAGTGTAGTTCCTAGCCATATTGGCCTAGAAAATAAAAAATATTAATTTTCCATGAGTCTCAGCACATGATGTAACTACAGAAGCGTCGAGCTTTAAATACAAAAATGATTAAAATCTCTTTGCTCATTTTTGATCAAGATGCTTATGGTCTAATCCGATTCAATGATCTATGCTAAGCTAAGCTATAAGTGCTCAGATCTGGAGATCAGCTGACTGGATTAAAAATGGGCAATATCTGTTTAACCCTACGGAAGTTGTAAAATGAGCCTATTTTCCAAGTGTTCTTTTAAGAAAATACATATTTGATTTGCTTTTGATCGCTCTCTTGCCTGTTTTAATACGTGAAGGTTCTGTGGAGAGATCCTCGAGAGGGAACGGCTACATGGCGCCATCTTACTCAACTTCCAGCAAAGAGCTTCAACCAGTGTGTGGCCGTGATGGACGGATTCCTGTATGTAGCAGGAGGAGAGGATCAAAACGATGCCCGAAACCAGGCTAAACATGCTGTTGGTACCCTTAGCAGGTATCACAAATAACATCATCAACAACAGTGTAAAACAAGTACTGTTTCTGCAGGACTGCACCTTCCTCCCAGCAAGCATTTTGTGTTTAATAGACAACAATTTGACATCTTGGCTAAATTTGACATGTGAGCAAAAATCTAACATCTTCCAATAGTCCCCTAGTCATCAAATAGACAGGAATGCATGACTACACATCTGAATTAAAGACTAGTCAATTTTTGGACTATTGAATGTTTTATTAATATTTAATCACCTGAAAGCTAAATAAGTATGTTTTCTATTGATGCATAAGACAATATTTGGTCGAGTTACAAATATTTGAATATCTAAAATCTGAGGGTTCAAAAACATCTAAATATTGGGAAAATTGTCTTTACAGTTGTGCAAATGAGATGTTTAGCAATGCATTTTACTAATCAAAAATTGAGTTTTGATGTTTTTACAGTGGTAAAATGTATTTAAAATCTTCAGAATACACTCACCGTTATTAGGTACACACCACTTAATTAGGTACACCTGTCCAACTGCTCATTAACGCAAATTTCTAATCAGCCACATGACAGCAAGTCAATGCATTTAGGCATATAGGCATGGTCAAGACGATCTGCAGCAGTTCAAACCGAGCATCAGAATGGGGAAGAAAGGTGATTTAAGTGACTTTGAACGTGGCATGGTTGTTGGTGCCAGACGGGCTGCTCTGAGTATTTTTGGAAACTGCTGATCTACTAAGATTTTAACGCACAACCATCTCTAGGGTTTACAGAGAATGGTCTGAAAAAGAGAAAATATCCAGTGAGCGGCAGTTCTGTGGATGGAAATGCCTTGTTGATGCCAGAGGTCAGAGGAGAAGACTGGTTCCAGCTGATAGAAAGGCAACAGTAACTCAAATAAGCACTCGTTACAACTGAAGTCTGCAGAAGAGCCTCTCTAAACACACAACACATCCAACCTTGAGGCAGATGGGCTACAGCAGCAGAAGACCACACCGGGTGTCACTCCTGTCAGCTAAGAACAGGAAACTGAGGCTACAATTCACACAGGCTCACCAAAATTGCACAATAGAAGATTGGAAAAACATTGCCTGGCCTGAGTCTCGATATGTTGCGACATTCAGATGGTAGGGTCAGAATTTGAATATTTCCAGTACCTTGTTGAATCTATGGCAGCTCTAAAGGCAAAAGGGGATCCAACTTGGTACTAGAAATGTGTACCTAATAAAGTGGCCGGTGAGTGTAGTTTGGTATATTGACTTTCAGCCCACGGTTCGCGATGAAATTTGGTTTTTGGCACTTTAAACGAAAAAGTTTGGGCACTCCTGGTTTACAGAACAAACCACTGTTATATAATGACTTGCCTAATTACCCTAACTTGCCTAATTAACCTAGTTGTGCATATAAATGTCACTTTAAGCTGAATACTAGTATCTTGAAAAATGTCTAGTCAAAAATTATTTACTGTCATCATGACAGATAAAATAAATCAGTTATTAGAAATGAGTTATTAAAACTAATACGTGTAGAAATGTGTTGGAAAAAAAAATCTGTTAAACAAAGTGGGGGGGGGTGAATGCAGGGGGGCTAATAATTTTGACTCCAACTGTATGCTATGCACATCCAAAATTGTAGAACACTTCAAATCCAATATAACACGTCTATTATTACCTGTATAGAGATTTCAACAGTATTTCAATGTATTCCTCAGATATGACCCTCGCTTCAACACATGGCTGCATCTGACCAGCATGCGCCAACGACGTACCCACTTCAGTTTGGTGGCCACAAATGGGCGTCTATACGCCATTGGCGGCCGCAACACCGACGGCCTATTGGCCACCATAGAAAGCTACCAACCTTCAACCAACACATGGCAGCTCCGCACCCCAATGGATATGCCAAGATGCTGCCATTCCAGCGCGGTCCTTCCCTCAGGAGATATATTAGTGACCGGCGGCTACGTCAACTGCGCATACTCCCGCTCTGTCATCCAATACAGCATTGACAGAGATGCATGGAGCGAGAAAGGAGAGCTGGAAACACCACGCGGGTGGCATTGCTCTGCATTACTAGCAGGAAAAGTGTATGTTGTTGGTGGAAGCCAATTGGGAGCGGGTGGAGTCCGTATTGATGTGATGACCATGGAGGTTTATTCTTCGGAGAGCCAGGAGTGGAGTAGAGCTGCTAATCTGCCAATAGGAGTGAGCACGGCTGGGATGTCCCCAATCGGGAGTCATCTGTATATATTAGGTGGATGGAATGAAGCAGAAAAGCGCTACAAGTCGGCGGTGCAGAGGTATGATCCTGGCACCGACAGCTGGGCAGCAGTGGAGGATCTACCTGAACCCATCGTTGGAGTGTCCTGCTGCGCTCTGGGTTTGCCTCCAAGACACACGTCCCGCAGACACCGAAACACCCCGTCCCATGAAGACCACAGCAGTGTGACTCTGCAGAACAACACTGCATGAGAAGATATAACAGTTTATAGAGAAAGACAAAATGAAGAAGAGAAACAGTGTAAAAATATCTGTTAATTAACAGTGTTTTCTGTTTATTAATGCTTGTGAATTGCATTTTGGGAGCTTGATCTGTTCTCTGTCGACTTCTGATATAAATTTAAACTCTGCAGTTTAACAAAGTGACTTTTATTATTGACAGTTTAGTCGTTTGAAATGATATAAATGTATAATAAATAATATATAGAGAAATAAGTCAGTAAAATGTTCTGGGAGTTGATTGCATGGTGTTTGTAGCGTAATCTCCAACACCAACCCAGACAAAATAGCACTTTAAACTATTAAAAATGTTCAGAAAAGTGACTATATTTGAAATTCTGACGGTTAAAGGTTGTTGGACGAAAGATTAAAGTCCCATAATGCAAGTCAAAAGCATAAACAATGAGGAAAAATCAAAGTATGAATCACAAAATATAAGAAAGCTGCTAATTTACGGATATTTTACACCAGTGTAGGGTGAAAAGAGAGAGATTGATGGAGAGAAGAAGTGAGAGAACAAGAAAGAGAAATTTGGGATTGAAAATTTGAGAGTATAAAGAGTAAACAGTGTTGGGGAAAGTTACTTTTGAAAGTAATGCATTACGATATGGAGTTACTCCCCCAAAGAGTAACTAGTTACATTACTTTTTATTGTAATTAATGCCAGGGGTGCCGCAGGGAGGGAGGGGGGTTATGACGATTCTAAGGGCGACTCCACGTCTGTACTTGAGTAATGTGTTACGTTACTTTTAAGTTACTTTTTCTTAAGTAAGTTGCGTTACTTTGTTACTTTTTAATGTGACTAATAAAATTAGGACGATTCTAAGGGCCCATGCTGTTTTGGGGCCCCACCACCCTCCGCTCTGCACTTTTGTTCTCGACTACACGTCTCCCACCCCCAATGTTGTCATCGGGCCCGTACCGGCAAACGGCGTCCCTGAATAATGCATTACAATACTTTTGATTTACTTTTAATCTTCACTTTCGTCCATGACTCCACCCCCTCCCTCTTTTTTTTTTTTTGCTAACTTTAGTCCGCGACACACTCAAAATCTTGTCACAGGGCCTGTAATGGCCAGCAGCACCTTTAAGTAGTGTTACGTTACTTTTAGTTACTTTTTCTTAAGTAAAAGTAACTAGTTGTGTTACTTTTTACTGTGACTAATGAAGATAGGACAATTCTAAGGGCCCATGACGTTTTGGGGCCCCCCAGAGACACTATACCACCACAACACCCCCACCAACCCCACTCTTCACTTTTGTTCACGACTACACGTTCCACACCCCCAATGTTGTCATAGGGCAATAATGCGTTACGTTATCTTTTGAGTTACTTTTAATTAAGAGAAAGTAGTTAGTTGCGTTACTTTTTATTGTGATTAGTGGCAGGGGTGCCACTAAGGGAGGTGGGGGATATGTGGAGTTAGGACGACGGGGTCCATGCCGAAGAGGCCCACCCGCTCTTCACTTCCGTCCGTGACTCCACTCACCTCTCCCACCTCCCTTTCCTTTTTTTCCCACTTTCGTTCTCGACACCCTCAAAATGTTGTCACAGGACCCATACCCCTCAGCGGGGACCCCGAGTAATATGTTACGTTAAGTAAATAGTTGCATCACTTTATTACTTTGTATTGAGACAAATGAACGATTCTAAGAGCCCCCCAGAGATACTATCAGGGGCCCACAACCCCCCTCCCCCCCGCTCTTCACTTTTGTCCACGACTACACGTCCCCCACCCAATGTTGTTATAGGGCCCGAACCTGCCTGTGGCGTCCCTGAATAATGCGTTTCATTACTTTTGAGTTACTTTTCTTAATTAAAACTAGTTGCGTTACTTCGTTACTTCTTATTGTGGTTAATGCCAGGGGCGCCACTAGGGGGAGAAAGTTAGGACGATTGGGCTCATGCCACATTGGTCCCCCAGAGATACTATTAGGGGCCCACCCGGGCGCTAATCACTTTTGTCTGCGACTCCATGCCGCCCCCGCCCCCCCACTTTCGTATGTCAACTCCATCCGTCCTCCTATTTCGTCCGCGACACCTACGAAATGTTGCCATTGGGCCTATACCAGGCAGTGGCAGCCCTGAATAATGCATTACATTACTTTTGAGTTACTAATGAGAATACTTCCATCGCAGAAAAGTAGCCCAGATAAGTTTCAAAAAGTAACTCAAATATTGATTAAAAAAAAAAAAAAAAAGTAATGCTACTAGTTACTTGAAAAATATTAAATAACTCGCATTACTTGTAATGTGGTACCCCCAACACTGAGTGTAACACCATCAAAAGGTGTAGTTCACTAAAACCTGAAATTTATGAAATGATTTACTCATCACAAACCTTTGGGTTTCTGTCTTCTGTTAGACACTAAAGATATTTTGAAAAATCTGTAGATACTTGTAACCATTAACCTCTATAGTATTTGTTTTTCTTACTATGGAAGTCAAGGTTACATCTTTAGAATATCCTATTCTTCAACAGAATAGGGAAACTCAAAGGTTTGGGATCACTTGAGGTTGAGTAAATAGTCATTTCAAATTTTTGGGTGAACTAACCCTTTAAGTCTTTGTTTTAGTCTTGTTCTTAAACACCAGAGATGCTTTTAGATTCACTGGAAGTTCAGAGAACAGGCACTACATGAATGAAGAATATGAAAGGTACATTTCACACACGCCTCTGCAGTGTGAGGAATATAGTGAAGTTTATGGAAGAGTTTTAGAAATTGAGCCGAACAGTTCTACTGAAAACACCATTATATAAAAAGCTTCATTCAGTAGTGCTGAATAAAGCAGCAATTGTTTATTTATTCCTCATATTTATTTATTTTTTATTCTAAATGTTCTCTCTCACTTTTCAAACTCAGTCACCGCAAATATCACTCAGGGGTATTTAAGATTTGTATTATTTATACACAAACACATGAAATTAGTTAGAAAGGGGTTTCAAATGTTGCCAATTTTAAATTAGCGCAGCCACAAATTTAAAATACACTCAATTGTTCAACCTCAAGTTCTCCAAACCCTCAGGGGTTTCTTCATTCTGTTAAACACTATCATTTTGAAGCTGAAACCTGTAACCATTGACATTCATAGCAGGAAAAACAAATCCTACAGAAGTCAATGTTTACCGGTTTCTTCGTCTTTTTGTCAAACACAAGATATTCCAATGAGGTTTGAAACAAGTGATGGGCAAATAAATGAATTTTCAGGTTTAAATGAGCCATCTCTTTAACTCATGGTCTATAAACTGACTAATGGTAAAAGTTTCCTTCCCCATTCTAGCCCATTGATGTTTCTTGTTTTAAAGTGACCGTAATGTCTCAATAACATCTCTTTACTTTCTTTATATGATCATTACAATGAACATCTGTAACAGATAAAACATGATCTTCCAAAACAAAGATGTCAGCTCCCGAATGCACAGCCAAGTGGGAATTCCAGTATAAGAGAACAGCCTAGAGCAGGGGTGTCAAACTCAATTCCTGGAGGGCCGAAGCCCTGCAGTTTAGTTCCAACCCTGCTCCAACTCACTTACATGTAGGTTTCAAACAAGCCTGAAGGACTCAATTAGTTTGATCAGGTGTGTTTAATTAGGGTTGGAACTAAACTGTGCAGAGCTGCGGCCCTTTTAGGACTGAGTTTGACATCTGTGGCCTAGAGTGTATCTGCTACTAGATCTCAGATTTAAATAAAGCTTAATTGATTAAACCCGAACATGCTTCTTTTTTCCCTCTAAAGCATTACAACGACTCACCAACCAACCTTTAACTTTGAAAAAGAGCATTTTCAAAATTTACACAGCATACACAAAAAATAAAGGACTGAACCAAGGATATCAAGAAGAGATTTACCATAATTTTCACCCTTTAAAATGTCCAGATGTATTCGGTTTTAAATTGATCAGACAGCCAAAGAGAAGCACAACTCCACTACAATCAAATGAAGACACATGGACAGGAGTTTGGCATTTTGTTTCTTTTTATTTTTTTGATACAAATTCAAAAAATGGTGGTCCTTTACTTGCCAGGGAGGATGATGCCGTCATACTGAAAGACAAGACAAAAAAAGTGTTTAGGTTAATTCGGTTTAACTGCTTGAAAAACACTAAACACAAGAGATTGCATTAGAAATGTCAAATTTAACACTTTAACATTAGAAAATGTTTGCCTAGCATTAAAACTGGCAATCATGATTAAAAAAAAACAACAACAACGACATAAAAATGGCTGTAGAGGGGTGGGAATGACATTAGCAGGCAAAAAAAATAGGTGGAAAAGTCATATAAATGACCGGCAATTGTAAAACTTTCATTGTAAAACTTGCTTTAAATTAGTTTAATTAAATGTAAACTTTATAATCTAAATGAATAAGCCCAAATATTAATGCTACAAGTTAAACGAGTGAGGGAGAGGATCTGAATCAAAAACGGTATCGAGCATTTCATTTGTGGCATTTTTGCAGAATATAATAAGACGATATGGAAGCACAGTTGGAGAGGATTAACGTGATCGGAAAAGGTCTTCGGACAGCAGTGCACTGCCCACTAATGAAATGAGGCAATTCAACACACCTTCTGCTGGAACCAGCGCATGGCCTCCTCCTTGCGGATGCGGTGTTTAGCGCCGATGCGGCCTGTCTTCCTCTTTTTGTCAGCAATGCTGAACCCGGGTCTGCCAAGAACCTACAGTAAACAGATGAGGGGATTAGTTCACAAGTTAAAAAGTCTGATCTTCCCAAACTTCTCTTGTTCCAAAACTAAAGCGGAGTCTCCTGCTGAACAAAATGTATGATCATTTGAAGAACAGCGCACACTAGTGATGAGCATTATATATCCGCAGGGGCTGTAGATAATCTGCAGGTTAACAAATGGAAAAATATGACTGCATTTTCAATGCATTTTTGATCCAGCAGACAGACACTAATGTGGACTAATATTAGACTATAGTAATTAAAAATAATAATAATCTTCCCTCAGGGGTGGACATTTTCCATCAAGCAGAAATGAAAATAAATAAAAAGTCAGGCAAGAAGTGTAGTTTGGGAGCATTAGCATAGTAAACAGATTAGTCTATTGCTTAGGCTGGACATAATTTGTTACAATGATGGCAACAAGAGCGTTGGCATTCATTTCTGGATTGAGTAATAAATCTGGTGTTTATGTTATTGAAATGAAGGCTAATCCATGCAAAACCAAACTGCCATAAATAAAAACAGACTTAATAATTGCGATCAGATCATCATAGATGTGCACTGCATGTTTCAAAACATCTTTTGTGCTCAAAAGAAACTCAAGCTTGAACCATCTATAGGTTAAGCAAATTGTTGTTTTTTTAATAATATATAATACAAATAATATTCACAGCTCAAATAATAAACTTGCACGTTAAATTTGGAGCAAACAATATGGTCACATCTCTCAGAAAATACAAAACCCCACATAAAAAAATATAAATTCAACAAGCAGATTACTAAAATAAAGACTTAAATCAAATTTGCACCAGCTACAAATCAAGTTCTTTAGTCTTAAAGTGGAAAAAATTGAAAAGCTAGAGCAAAATATAAATATCTTTGAGAAAAAACCTTTCTGCATCTATAAAAAGATGAATTTTTGGGTCCATAAGATACTTTTAAACGTAACTCACCACGTAGAAGTCCAATCCGTAGATTCCAATGCTTGGGTCGTACTTGATGCCCAAATCGATGTGTTCCTGGATACCAAAGCCAAAGTTTCCGGTGTCTGAGAAGTTGTTCTTTCTCAACTCGTACTCGCGCACCTGGAGAAAAAAACATTTATAAAATTACATTTAAAAAGCAAAATATAGACCATCCATAAGCAGGCAGTGAGGGATACAAATTGTCGAATAGCAAGACAAACTACTGAATTGCTAAGTATAACCTCACAATTGCAAAAAAATAAAAATAAAAAAATAAATCTCCAGCAGTTTTTTTTTTTTCTTCCAGAACTGAATGTGACGTAGAACTTTAGGTTTCTATATGATGAGAGGGAAATAGTCTGATGAAAAATGCAATTTTATGTGGGAAATAAAAAAAAAAAGGTTCATGTGGGAAGTTGAAATGATTTTCTTCTTAGTTTGGTCCAAGTGGATTAAATATGTAAAGCCATTATGGGCAGATTTTAACTTGGTATGACTTTGTAAACACTTTCACCCAGTCTCTACCATAGACCAAGAACAAATGTAACATCATTAAATATGGAATTTAATTTACCAATAACAGATTACAACTCCCTTAAAATTGTTAAAATGATAAATGTTATTAATAATGAATTCATTTTTTTTGTTTTTTTGTTTTTATTGTTAAAATGTGTGAAGAACAAAACCTCACAATAAACACATGCTCTAATTTTATTAGATGTAACCTTTCAATCTCCTGACCATAATCAGACATTACATTATGTAAAAAAACAAACAAATTGCAGAACAAATTATTTTCATTAGCCTTATTAAAGAAATGCAAGATGAAGTCAATATTAATATCTTGGAATTATAATGCTTTGCAAAATTTCAAGACATCAAATTAAAATAGATTTCAAACTATTGCATAATACAAGCGTCCCCATTCTGTGAGATATTTCAGACCTGCCGCTAGGGATGTTTTGGTTGTACGATTATAGTCTGAGAAATAATAACGGTTTCACAATTATGCATTCATTACTTTCAAAACACAACTAGTTTAGAAAAACACATGATTACTCCCTTTTAATATTCTGTGCTATTTATTGCTGCTCAGTAACCAAATAATACAACAGACAATTGTCCATTTCTCTTTGGACTTAAAAATAAGTGAACAAGATATTTTACACTGAAAATAAAAAGACAGAACAATGAATAAATTAAATAAATATAAATAAGAATAAAAAAAAAAAAAGTGTTTGTCTAATGTAAATCTAAGCATCATATCTTAAGTATTTCCCTTTTAAAGAGAAAGAATGTAGTCAATGACTGCCGAATAGTTATCAGCCTCAGCCATTGTTAATCCTGTGTGTCTGGGTATTAGCCTTGGTGTACAAGCTTGAAATTTTAAATCAGGGCACAGTTGGCATAACTTTTAGTTGCAGAAGTTTTGTTCTGTGCAGAAACGCGATGTTGAGAAGCCTCCACAATTAATTAACCATGACTAATTCAATCGCGGTTAATAGTGAAATTGGTTAATAGTGAAATTGGTTAATCGTTTTATCTCTACCTGCCGCAAAGAAAAAATAAATCCTTTTATTTCAAGCATTCATTGTCCTATCTCAAAGTTTTTTCTCTTACCTTCAATCCCTTCTCCAGGATTTCCTCAGCCTTGGCTCCTCGAACAGTGCAGTGGACTGCAATCTTTTCATTTCTACGAATACCGAAGGATCGCACAGTGTAGCGGGCTGGAGGAAAAACAAGCAATCAATGCAAGAATAATTTTATGAAAAAACAAGTCATTACACATTAGGGATTTTTTTTGAGTACATACTTTAAAATGCCAAAAAAAAAAACTTTACATTGACTAACAAAAGTTAAAAAAAAAAACATTTCAGTATTTATTGTTGTCAATAGCCCCTTTCACACAGTGATACCGGTAAATATCCGGAAAATTTACGGAACGACTTTACCGGTATATTCAAAAAAGCGCTATTCAGACAGGCGAGGACGTTACGGAAATTTTCCGGAAAAGAGCATTCACACATCCATTCCAAATTACCGGTAAATTCTGACATCATTCACCACAAATGAGCTTTAAACGGCTGCGCTTGTATTTGTAAACATTTGACTAAATTACAAACTCTTTTGATAATCAATATTGTAAACAACTTTCACTGGATCATATTCGCATGTCGAGATGTTCATAATATGTGCGTGTGCTGGCGCTCACTGGCTGTTTCATGGGCACACGCAAAGCTTGAAGGTAAACAAACAACGGCTTATCATAAGCATCTTATCGATGATTATTTGCACAGTTGGCATTAAGAAGAACATATAGACGTTATCTGACTAACTTCTAGCAGCTAAATGTGTCTGGAAAAATATTCAAAGGCTTTTATTCTCACAAACCGCGCGGACGTAAATGCGTCTGACTGTTGTGATTGGCTAAAGCAGAAGTCTTACATCAGCACGTTCTAGACGTGCACGAGCTTATTCCGGAAATCTTCCTTCTGCGTTCACACAGCGCAGCATTCCGGCAAATTTCCGGTAATGTTACAACTTCTCTTTCCGGAAAATAGCCAGAACGAATTTACCGGTATTTTCAAAAAGGACCTGTTCACACATACAACCTTTCCGGAAAATTGCCGGTAATTTTCCGGAAAGGTCTGTATGTGTGAAAGGGGCTTTTGTTAGTGTGTCCCCTCTCCTCCAATCAGCAGCGATATGGCCGCTGTTGCATCATCCAGGTGGACGCTGCACACTGGTGGTGGATGAGGAAAATGCCACTCACCCTTGGAGAAGACTGGAGTCTGTCCTGTCAGCTGCTCCAGCACTTTAGCAGCTCTGGTCAGTCTGTCACCGCTCTCACCCACACAGATGTTCAGGCACAGTTTGCGGATGCGCAGCTCCCTCATGGGGTTCTCCTTCTTCTCGCTCTGGTCCTGTGTAATTAAATAACAGACAAATAATGAGCTGTCAGTAAAGAGCAGTGGTCACCATACTTATTCCTCAAGGTCCGGTGTCCTGTAGAGTTCAGCTAAAACCCAAATCAAACACACTTGAATAATCTAATCAAGG